ACCTAAGAAGAGAGCGAGAATTGGCCAAGAAGCCAATACCACCCCAAGAGTGGTTGTTGATCCCTTACTTGATAATACGGGTGAGGATAATCCCCCTTCTATCAAACTGCCTGATTCGTCTATTCCAAAACATACTGTCGCAGTTACTACACCCGCGGAGGATGCCACAATCCCTCCCGCTGATATACCTGTTCCACCTCCAACCCCAGCTCCAGGTCCCTGTATTTCTGATGGGGATCTTAGGGGAGCTATTCAGATGCTGACTCAATTAGTAGCTTCTCAGGCCCAAAGGTCAAATGTTGCACCCACCTTATTTAGCTCGCAAGAGGATTCTTCTGGTTCCAGGGTAAACAGGTTCCGTCAGTTAGACCCTCCAGTGTTCACAGGTACTGATCCCGGGGAAGACCCTCAGGATTTTATTGATGAGATGCATAAGACTGTCCGAGTTATGCGTGCTACGGAGACAGAGGGAGTAGAGTTGGCCTCTTATCGTCTGAAAAGTGTGGCATATTCCTGGTTTGAGATGTGGGAAGATTCCCGTGAGGAGGGGAGCCCTCCGGCGAGATGGAGTGAGTTCGCGGATGCCTTCATAGACCATTTCTTGCCTGCCGAGACTAAGGCAGACCATGCTGTGGAGTTTTAGACCCTTAAACAGGGTAGTAGGAATGTGTGGGAGTATTACATGGAGTTCGTGCGCCTGTCGAAGTATGCTGTTCATATGATGCCTACTATGGAGGCAAGAGTGCGTCGATTTATGCAGGGCCTTAGCCCTTTTATTATTAATGAGGCTACCACAACTGTTCTAAATTCTAACATGAACTATGGGAGGATGGTGGCATTTGCCCAAGATACAGAGGCCCGAAAGTTAAAGCTCAGGATGGAACGGGAAAGTAGTAGTAGGGCCCGATCAGCGGGCAACCTTGGGGATTCATTCGGAGGTGGGAGATCAGCTTTTCGGGAAGGATCATCAGGGCCGTCCCAGTCTTATGCTCAGTCTTCAGCTAGTGTCCCACCATCAGGGCACGGTCAGCAGTAGGGGAGTGGCTTTAGGCCCGGTTAGGGAAGCAGGGGGTCCCACCATCAGGGCCGATCAGGAGGGAGATTCCAGCAACAGCAGAGGGCCCCATTCCCTAAGTGTGGGAGGATACATTCGGGAGTCTGCTACCTGGACATGCCAGTATGTTACAGATGCGGAATGAGAGGTCATATTCAGAGGGAGTGTCGTGCATCCCGTCAGGGTACAAGCAGGGGCACAGCTCAGTCATCCAGTCCTACAACTGCCATATCTTCAGCACACCCTCCAGCTCGAGGCTCTTCAGCAATCGCAGGGTGTGGTACAGCTGGGGGTAGTGCACAGAGTTCGGGAGGACCCAGCCGATTCTATGCTATGTGTGGTCGACAGAGTGCAGAGGCTTCCTCAGATGTCGTCATAGGTATATTGACCGTTCAATCTCATGATGTGTATGCCCTTGTTGATCCCGAATCTTCTTTATCCTATGTTACTCCTTATGTTGCTACGAGCTTCGGGGTAGAACCAGAACAGCTTCATGAGCCGTTCTCTATATCTACCCTAATTGGCGAATCTATTATGACCGCGCGAGTTTATAGAGATTGTGTTGTCACGGTGCGTGGTCGGGATACCATGGTCGATATTATTGAACTAGGGATGATTGATTTTGATGTAATAATGGGAATGGATTGGCTTTATTCATGTTTTTCCAAACTCGATTGCCGAGCCAGAATCATGAGGCTTGAGTTTCCTAACGAGCCAGCAGTTGAGTGGGAGGGGAATAATGTTATGCCACAAAGATGATCAGGAAGGGGTATATTTATCATTTGGTCCGAGTTACGGACACCACTGCTGAGGTGCCTACCCTTGAATCTATACCAATTGTGAATGAATTCACCGATATCTTTTCGGATGAGCTCCCTAGAATTCCTCCAGATAGGGAGATTGATTTTGGAATTGATGTGATGCAGGCACGCAGCCTATATCCATTCCACCTTATAGAATGGCGCCGACAAAATTAAAAGAGCTAAAGGAACAACTAAGGGATTTGCTAGAGAAAGTTTTCATCCAACCGAGTGTGTCACCTTGGGGCGCATCGGTTCTCTTTGTCAGAAAGAAAGATGGATCGCTGCAGATGTGTATTGATTACCGACAACTCAACAAAGTCACAATAAAAAATAAGTACCCATTGCCTAGAATAGATGATTTGTTTGATCAATTACAAGGTGCTAAGTTCTTCTCCAAAATTGGTTTGCAGTCCGGGTACCATCAATTGAAGGTGAGGGAGTAGGATATTCCGAAAACAGCTTTTAGAACCCGGTATGGGCACTTTGAATTTTTGGTAATATCTTTCGGGCTAACAAATGCCCTGGCAGCTTTCATGGATCTTATGAATCGAGTCTTAAAGCCGTTCCTCGACTCCTTGGTGATAGTATTCATTGATGACATCCTTGTGTATTCACGAAGTCGAGAGGATCACGCCGATCACCTCAGGGCAGTTCTGCAAACTCTTCACCAACACCAATTGTATGCAAAGTTCTCAAAATGTGAATTTTGGCTTGAATCTGTCACATTCCTGGGTCATGTCATCTCCGGAGAAGGAATTAAGGTTGATCCTCAAAAGATTACAGCGGTGAAGGATTGGCCTAGACCTACTACTCCAACAAAGATTCGCAGTTTCTTGGGTTTGGCTGGGTATTATAGGAGGTTCATGGAGGGGTTCTCCACTCTTGCCTCTCCATTGACTAAATTGACGCAGAAGGCGGTTAAGTTCCATTGGTCCGATGCTTGTGAAAGGAGTTTCCATGAATTGAAATCAAGATTGACTTCGGTGCCGGTATTGACCCTACCAGAGGGTACCGAGGGGTTTGTGGTGTATTGTGATGCTACAAGGATCGGTCTTGGGTGCGTATTAATGCAACGTGGTAAGGTAATAGCATATGCTTCAAGGAAACTTTTGAATCATGAAAAGAACTATCCAACTCATGATTTAGAGCTTGCGGCAGTGGTTTTTGCATTAAAACTTTGGCGTCATTATTTGTATGGAGTCCATGTAGATGTATTCACGGACCACAAGAGTCTTCAATACATTTTAAAGCAGAAGGAATTGAACTTAAGGCAGAGAAGGTGGCTTGAGTTGCTCAAAGATTATGACATCAATATTTTGTATCATCCGGGGAAAGCTAATGTGGTGGCGGATGCTCTTAGTCAAAAATCTATGGGTAGTTTGTCTCACTTGGACGCATGTCAAAGGCCCTTGGCCCGAGAGGTTCACCAGTTGGCCGGTTTGGGAGTTCGTCTTACGGACTCTAGTAAAGGTGGAGTGATTGTGCGGAATAGGGCGGAATCATCGCTTGTCGCGGAGGTCAAGGAGAAGCTATACAATGATCCAGTGTTGGTGCAGCTGAAGGAAGGGATTCATAAACATAAGACTACGGCTTTTTCTCTTGGCATGGATGATGGTACATTACGGTACCAAGGACGACTATGTGTTCCAACCGTAGATGGTCTTCAGGAAAGAATCATGGCAGAAGCTCATACTTCTAGATATTCCATGCACCCAGGTTCTACAAAAATGTATCATGATCTCAAGGAAGTTTACTGGTGGAATGACATGAAGAGGAGTGTGGTGGACTTTGTGGTAAAATGTTCAAACTGTCAACAACTGAAGGCCGAGCATCAAAGGCCCGGTGGGTTAGCACAGAGTATAGAAATTCCAATGTGGAAATGGGAAATGATCAATATGGATTTTGTGGTAGGGTTACCACACACTCCGCGTAAGTTTGACTCAATTTGGGTGATCGTGGATCGCCTCACGAAATCAGCACACTTCTTGCCAGTTAAATCCACCAACACTGCGGAACAATATGCTCAATTGTATATCAAGAAAATAGTCAGGCTTCATGGCACTCCAGTTTCCATCATTTTCGATCGAGGGGCCCAATTCACAGCTAATTTCTGGAAGATATTTCAGCAAGGTTTGGGTACGCAGGTAAATCTTAGCATGGCCTTCCATCCACAAACTGACGGGCAAGCAGAGCGGACTATTCAGATGCTAGAGGACATGTTGCGTGCGTGCGTGTGTGCTTGACTTCAAAGGTAGCTAGGATGATCATTTGCCTCTCATAAAATTAGCTTATAACAACAGCTTCTATGCTAGTATTCAGATGGCGCCGTTTGAGTCCTTGTATGGTAAAAGATGTAGATCCCCGATTGGGTGGTTTGAGGCTGGAGAAGCTGAACTAATAGTACCAGACCTTGTGCATCAATCTGTGGAAAAAGGTTAAGATCATAAAAGAGCGGTTGAAAATTGCTCAGAGTCGTCAAAAATCCTACTCGGATGTTCGTCGCAGAGACTTAGAGTTCAAAGAAGATGATTGGGTGTTCTTGAAGATATCTCCCATGAAGGGGATCATGCAATTTGGAAAGAAAGGGAAATTAAGTCCGAGGTATGTCGGGCCGTATAAAATCATTCAAAGGATATGGCAGGTGGCGTACAAGCTTGAACTACCACCTGAGATGTCATTAGTACACCCGGTATTCCATGTGTCCATGTTGAAGAAGGTATTTGGAGATCCGTCTGCTATTGTGACGGTTGAGACCATCGACGTCAGTGAAGTATTGTCATATGAAGAAATTCGGGTTGCTATTCTTGATAGGCAGGTCCGAAATTTGAGAAACAAAGAAATTGTATCCGTGAAGGTGTTATGGTGAAACCAACAAGTCGAAGAAGCTACTTGGGAAGCCGAGAATGAAATGAAAGAAAAGTACCCTCATTTGTTTGAATAGCCATGTAATAGTTCTATGAAGTTGTTTCCCCTAAAGTTTGTATCACTTGTTTGGCTAATATAAAGACACTCATTTCTAGCTATATGTCCCCCTTGAGGCTTCGGTTGGTGTTATTTTGCATTTTGCTGTGTCATTTAATTCTATATATGTTGCTAAGGTGTGCTTCGGGGGTTCTCTGACAGGTGGATAGGCCTAAATACAAAGGAAACTCTGACGAAATTTTCAAGAAGTTAGGCAATTTTGGGGCCGATGGTATGTGGCATAACTGAAACTGTGTTAAGTGAACCTTGATCTTCATTTGAGGACGAATGATTTTAAGTGGGGGAGGATGTAAGGACCCGTAAAAGTTTTAACCAAAATACTCAAGATTTCGTGGTGCCAAGATAGATTCTTGCGTTACTACGTGGTTCGGACTTTTTGGATTGAACAGTACCCTACGAACTGAGAGGAAAATGTTTCGCAGAAGAACGCATTTTTGCGGCCCATTATGCGGCCGCATAATCACTCTGCGGACCGCATAATGGCCGCAGAGTAAAGCAGTAAGTTTGGCCAACTTGAGGTCAGTTTTACGGTCGATTATGCGACCGCATAATCGATATGCAGACCGCATCTCGATCGCATAATCCCTCTTGAGTTTTTGCGGAGGGAGTTCTGCGGTGCATTATGCGACCGCAGAACAAGTATGCGGACCGCATACTGGTCGCATACCTGGGCCGTAAGTCCAGGCCCCTGAGGGTCATTTCTGCGGTCACTTTGCGGACCGCATAACCATTATGCGGTCGCATATGCGGCCGCAGACCTGTGTCAGGGTACCATTTTTCTTAATTTAAAACCCGACCCCCATTCTGTTAAAACACCCATTTAGTCCATTTTGAAGCTCATTTCTCATATTTCTAGTGTGAGAGAGAGAGGGTTCTAGAGGGAGGGCCTAATTTTCATCAATTGATCTTCAACCATCACTCAAGGCTTGGAAATACTCAAGTAGAGCACCAAATTCTTCATCCAAAAGGGTAAGATTTCATCACCCCAACTCTTAATTTCAAACATAGCTATAATGGGGTACTAGGGCAATGCTTCATGGGTATGAGAGTGATTCATCTTGCAT